AGTTATTTTGGTTTTTTCTGATTTAAATTTCTTTAACATTAACTAAATTTAGAAAAAAAATGCTATATAATAAGAAATAAATGTTATATCCATATAATTAATTTTAAGTTATAAAACACAGCGTAAGATACGTAATCGTATATAGTAAAAGTCACAACTCACTTGAGTAATCTATGCTTTCTATAAAGTTAAAGAAAATCTAAATATCAACATGCAACCATGCCACATCATCACCCACTAGCAATAATTACATATTTAATCTCATGCAAGCATATAACATGATCTACAATTTATTAAATCTACAAATCAACATGTAAGCATATTCAACCATATCATTTGCACAATATTTTAACAAATATATCACATTTACAATATTTAACATATACTTATTAATATGTTTCACACTAAAGCATGGGTATCATTTGACTGATAAATCCTGATGTTTCATTTTTTTTTCTTTTTACTCGTAGGTTGATTATCACAAAATATATATTGAGAATTGCTTAGTAATTCCCACAGCAAAGCGCGGGGAGTCAACTAGTATTTATAGTGCACTATGATCATTTGATTCATAACAAATGTCACTCCCTAATTTATTCTAATTTATCCATATAAATTATAGATATTTATATGACTAGAGATACTTGAGGGCCTCTACCCACCATCACAGCTCACAGAACTAGAAATATATAGCTATGGTGGTGTGAAGTACCCAAGTTGGTTAAAACAAAATCGTTTTAGGAGACTGAAATGCCTTAGACTCACTAAAGGATTGTTCCAATCTCAAAGCTCTTATAGATATTAGTAAGCTTTTTATTCATCTTCGTGAGCTTACACTCAATTGTCTTCCCAAGCTAGAAAGGTTGCATGCCGAGGCTTCCAAGAGTCTATATACACTAGTGGAGAAGCCATCTTTTGCGGGTTGGACAAAAACCACAATAGTCCCGGTTCAACCAAAAACCTGGACTAAAAATCATTTTTTGTCCCGGTTAAAAAGCCCAACACACCGGGACTAAAAATGATCTTTAGTATATAATCACTATCACTTATCCTCTCCTCCTCAACTTTAACTTCTCCTCCTCCCTTTCCTCATCTCTCTCTTTCCTCTCTCTTATCCCCTCCTTTTCTTTTTCTTGCAACAGCGAGGAGCAAGCGGTGCCGGCCTATGGGCGACGGCGGGGGCTGCAAGCCGTGGGGGCTTGGCGCGGGGCGGCGGCACAAGGCGATGGTGACGGCGGCCGGTGCGGCAGTGGAGGGACAAGCAATTATCGTTGATTTTTTGGATTATCTGTGAATTTTTTGATTTATGATGTGTTTGGATCTGTAAATTTATGGTGTGAATTGTGAATGTGGATGATTTTGTGATGTTTCTGTGAATGTGGATGATTTTATTGTTGAGTTTTGTGGATGATTTTATTATTGAGTTTGGTTAGAAATCAATATGCAAACAACAAAAAAAACAATGAAAAAAAGAAAAGAAAACTTTAGTCACAGTTGGTGCCATCTTTAGTCCCGGGTATTTAAACCGAGACTAAAGATATCGATCTTTAGTCCCAGATTCGTAGCCCCGGTTTGCTACCCGGGACTATAGGGGGTTACAAACCGGGACTACAAATGATTTCTCCACCAGTGATATGTTGTCGTGTCAAGCTCTGGTTCTTACTTGTGTAGAAGATGTGCAGATGATAAGATCACTCGTTATCAAGCGAGCATCTCAGATTGAGCATTGAATGTTAGGTACATCTGGAGCGAATAGAAAGGCTTGCAGACAAGCAGCTTGACAAGTTTGACACCATCCTGTTGGATATATTTGGCAGATGTGGATGAGTTGCCAACAAGGCTGTAAAATCAAAGGTGGTTTTGATTATTATTTTGTGATGAACAATTGGGCGTTGGAGATTATTGGTTTTGTTATTTGAAATTTATTCACGAAGTGGTTTTGGAGATGATTGGATTCACAGGTGATCCCAGGGGTTTATTATTTCATGTGACCGGTCAGACCGGGCTCTGGTAGCCGGTCAGACCGGCGTGTAATGCGCGGTCAGACCGGCGTGTAATGCGCGGTCAGACCGGCGCAGCCCGCGGTCTAACCGGCCGACACTGTGTCGGTTTCGGTTTCGGGTTGTTTATTTGGATATCCGAGTTTATTCTGTGTTTATGACTTCTAGATGGATACTATGCGTATGTAATACTATTGTTTACTGCTAATGAGTCAAGTTGGAGATAGCTTGGTCTCGGAATATGGTTTATTTGTTTGTTCCATGTGTAGGTGACTCGATGTCTCGGGAGAGTATTTGCGGTGATGGACCGGGAGTCGGCTTGGGGATAAGACGACGTCCGTGGTGGTCAGAGATCATGCGGGATACTTAGGCTAGAGTTGATGCACGTGGTTGATGGAGATTCCATATGGCATACGATGGAGGTATTGTGTGCGTATGGGATGCGGAGTCGAATTTGGAAGGAGTCCAAATTTGGTACGTTTGGTTATGTAAAGTTTCTTTCTTGTACTAGAGGGTTTCCTAAGGTGTTTAGGACTCCTAGTATGAGTTTGGTTCGTGGCTTTAGGCTGCCTACCTCATGTATAAATAGAGGGGGAGCGTGAGGCTTCCCGGTATCGCTTTAGAGAGCAATTGAGTTGAGTTCTGAGTTAGGGTTTCGAGTTTAGTCGAAATTTTTGTAAGGAGTGCTGTTGGTGCACTTTGTAAACACAGAGAGAAGTAATAAAGTCGTCATCTACTTTAAGAGTTCTTCGATTTGTGTTTACCGGGTTTCGGCAGTCTAACCGGCGATCTACCGGCGGTCAGACCGGCGACAAAGCGGCGGTCAGACCGGTGGCGTGCGGGCGGTCAGACCGGCGGCATCTACTCGGTCAGACCGGTAGATCAATCTCGGTCAGACCGACTTCCGTCGATTTCGAGGGTAACTTTTATTTCCGCTAAAAGTTTTCGGTTTTTGGGTATACCAACCATTCACCCCCCCTTTGATTGGCTTAGTTTTTGTGATTCGATCCTACAGGGCAAAGGACCTAAGATATAAGTGGGGGAGCCCCTCACCTCAATGGCTAGCTTTGGGGTAGGAAAGTCCCTTTACGATCCTACAATTGGTATCAGAGCCAGGCTAGGTTAACATCTCTGGCCCGATGGACACGTGTGAAGGCTTGATGGACCGTGGGTGCCTGCGGGGCCCGTATACCTGATGGACCGTGGGCCGGTGGGGCCCGGATACGGTGAAGGGGCGGTGAAGGGCTGAGGGACACCAATGTGTGAAGGGGGAAATTGTTGAATAGTCCCACATTGGTTATGGAAGGGCAAAGGACCTAAGATATAAGTGGGGGAGCCCCTCACCTCAATGGCTAGCTTTTGGGGTGGGAAAGGCCCTTTACGATCCTACAAAGGCTTGTCCGAGGACAGATAAGAGAGGAAGATTACTCACTATTTCTGTTTCCTACATCGGTAGAAAGACTCATTATCGCAGATTGTGCCATAACAGACACTGTCCTGCAGAACTACTTGAGAAACACTGCATCCCTAACTTGGTTGTTCTTTCGGGTCTTCCCTTTATCACATCAATCCCTTCTGAGGTGATGAAGTCTCTAACTATGCTTCAGGAATTGTTCATCATCGGTTGTGCCCAGGTTATCTGTTTGCAAGGCCTAAATCATCTAGTAGCCTGCGTTCCCTCGACATTTCGCAGTGCCCGAACCTTATGATGGACCTTCAAGAGGACGAGAAACTGCGAGTCCTTCGCGCGCTCACTACTGATGACATACACCTTGTGCCACAACTGTTATCAAGAGAAGGCTTCACATGTGACAGTCACTTACTTTCAGGTTCGTGGGGTCTGAGGAACAGATGGAAGAAGAAATGCCAGTGCAGTTTTCTTCTCTAACATCCCTCTCCCTTTATTCTTGCATGTGGAACATATTGCCGGAGAATTTGGCGAACCTGACATGCCTCCAGGAGTTACGTTTACAGAACTGCAAAAATATCATGTCACTTCCAACCCTGCCCGTATCTCTTCGGGGTCTTATTCTTAATGCATGCGATCAGTCGTTCGTGAAGAGCTGCCAAAAGGTTGGACATCCAAATTACCAAAAGATTGCTCATGTCCAAAGTATAAGTTTTTCTTCTTAGGAGTAAAAATCATCTGTTGCAGCATCCAAATCTGCGGTGCATCAGTCCATAGGAAAGATATTTTATCTTACAAGTAGAGATCCTCTACAATAGAAGCTACTACTAAAGCACAACAACTGGCCTTACCACGCATATAGGCTAGTCATCCAGAATGGACAGTTGCTGCTACTAAAGCACAACTAGAGCGGAAGGTATGAATGAAGTTGCTGATGAAACTTAATCTCCCTGTGATCCCTCTTTCAGGCCCGTGTTGGCCTTGTTGAATTCCTTACTACCTTCAACATCGTGAACCAAGTTGCTTAACCTTTTCCAACCAAATTTCAGCAACTAACATCTATCCATACATGATGCATGTACATGTCATAGGCCTATTCACAAAATGTTTGTATGGAATATTTTGTGCTATGAAGACATTGAGCCCTGCATATTTGTTTATCAGTTGATGTAAGAATGTATGATATTGTTCAAGTAACAATAGGTATCTGGTTCAATTGATAGTGTCTGTGCTGCTGTGCATGTGTAGAGAAACACAAGGTTGTGCATGCATGCGCATGTATGTATAGATGATGCATGTCTGTTGATTCGTTTACATTTTTGTGCCATTGTGGTGATGGGGGAGGATTATCACATAGCAAGATTTTGGCCCTCACTTTGTAGACTCAATCATATGCCTAACCTTACAGATTACTCCCTGTCTCAAAATACTAGGGATATAAGTTTTTTACAGAGTCTTCAATTTAAAACTTTAACCATTAGTTTATTTGATAAAACATTATGAACAACTACAAGATTTGCATCATACATATGAAAGTAATACAGTAAGCCTGAAGTGCACACATAATATTTTCTAGGGAGAAGATGAATATCTTTTTTTTTTTTGACAAAAGGCACCAGCCCGGCTTATATTGAAAGCCACAGAAGAGAGTACATAGAGGATTCCCATTTTACAGAGACGGCATCCAAGCAAGGACCACACATCCTGGAAACATCTTTACAGACAAGAAACCTCTAAACATGTAACAAAGCAACAACCTGGGAACAGCACAAGTGTTGCCTCCAGCACACATCTAGCACCTCTAAGATGAAAATCTTTTCACTGGGACATGAGCAATCTTTTGACAATTTTGATCTCCAGCCTTCTGGCAGCTCTTCATGAACAATGCATCGCAATCCTCAACCTCAAAAGACTGCAGAGATGCAGGCAGTTCTGGAAGTGATTGAATCTTTTTGCAGCAATCCAAACGCAAATTCTCCAGAGATGTCAAGTTCACCAAATTCTCCGGCAATCTGTCCCAACTGCAGCAACTGAAATCAAGGGATGTCAATGATGTAAGCTGCTCCAAGATATCTCCTCCCCTCAGCTGCTCCGATTCGTCGATTCTAAGGCTCCATAGGGATGAGCAGCCTTCTCTTGACAGAAGCTGTGGCACAAGGGGTATGTCATCAATGGCAAGGCCATTTAGACTTCTCACCTTTTGATCTTCTCCAAGGGCCCTAAGGTTGGGGCACTTGGCAATGGTTAGGTGTTGCAATCTACTGAGATTGTTCAGGCCTTCCAAGTGAGTAAACTGGATGCAGTCCTCAATGGAGAGGTCAGAGAGCTTTGCCATAGACTCCATCACCTCAGAAGGGATTTCTGTGAGAAATGGAAGACACCTTAGGTTCAAGCTAACCAGGTTTGCAGAGCCTGTCAAGCAACGGTGCAGGACTGTGTTTGTGACAAAGCAATATGAGATAATGAGCCTATCAACAACTGTTGCAGGAAGTGTAAGCTCGGAGTAATCTTCCTCTCTTATATGGCCACGGATAAGCTCACCAGGCAAGCTACCACATCTGCTGAAAATGTCACACAAGATCTTTTCAAACCTGTCAGGCTGCTCACCAGCAAACCTTTCGATTTCTGCTACTTCTGTTGCAGTAATATTCAGAGATGGCTCAATTTGAGTTGCTGTCTCAACAAAGAGTGATCTTATCATGTTCACATCTTCGCTACATGTCATCACAAGGGCCTTACACTGCTGAATGTGGAGGTTCTTCAGTGTGCCCGGGAGTCTTGGCATTCTTTTCAGTTTGGGAAAAACAACGAGTTTCAGCTGACGAAGGGAAACGAAAAGCTTGCCTATTTCTGGAAGATGGTCGAGATTGTAACATCGACAGAGTTGGAGATCTTGCAGGTTCGTGAATATACCATTCTGATTTTCTGACGACAACCAACTTGGGCACCTCAGTCCATTGTACTGTTGTATTTCCAATTCTGTGAGCTGTGACGGTGGACAGAGGCCTTCAAGTATCTCTACTTGCAGGTCTGGAGGGCAACTATGCTGCACTGAACTAAACTGTGACCATTCAAGTGACAATGATGTGAGGAACTTCTTGTCAGTAAGCTTCGCTTCTAGAGCATCCTCCTTGCTTTCTACACTTTCAAGGCCACTGATTCTTAGCCTGCCACGAAGATGATTTATGCTCTTGAGCTGCTTCAGCTCATACCCCTTGTCCTTTCTCACTCTGAAGTCACTCAATTCTCGAAGTGATTTCAGTTCCCCAATGCCAGGAAAGCCTGGAACATCAGTGTTTGGAAATACAAAACCAGAATTCCTAATGTCACGCAAGCTAATCAGGTGGCTCATGTTTTGGACGTTGGAGAAGTCTAAGACACCTGCACCACAGAGCTCTAGGATTTGAAGATGATAAGTTGTGTCCAATTTTTTGGGCAAATTTACCTTCTCTGACCAGGGGCTGTGGATTCTAAGAAATCGTAGATGCTTCAACTCACAAATGCATCCCGGGATTGACACCATTTGTCCTTGGACATCTACATGCACCACTCGCAGCTTCTTTAATTTCTTCAGCATGGCCTCAAGTTCTTCTATGGTTATCCCCAGTCCACCAAAAGTTGTAATTAGTATCAGCGTGCGCAATTTTTTCAATTTGCAAATCTTTTCCGCAAACTTCGTTTGATCATTTGAGCGGATAAAAAGATGGCGGACATCAGGGGGGATTTCTTTCATGTCACCACTTTCAACTCGAAAGCAATCAGTTCCAGCAACCATCGCGGCCAATTCATGCAACAAATCATGCATAGTGAACCACTTGTTCTTACTGCCAAAAATGTCCTTTGGTTGTAGGAATGAGCATGACACCAGTTCATCGAAATAGCTCTGACATACAACATCCATTTGCTCAGCTGAATCAGTGGTCTTTATAAAGCCTTCTGCCATCCATAAGTCAACTAGCTCATCACGTTTGAAATCGTATCCTTGAGGAAACATGCTGCAATATGCAAAGCATCGCCTAAGCTGCACATTCAGGTGCTGGTAGCTCCACCACAGAGCTCCCATGGTATCAGTCAACAGGTGTTGATCTCCAACTCTTGTCCAAACAGTAACATCTAAATGTTTGCGTAGTCGAGATCCTACAATTCTTGCTGCTAATGGCGATCCCTTAAGCTTTCTCGCAATCTCCCTTCCAATGGTATAAAATGTTTCTCGTTCTTGGCCATCAAGACTCACAGCATCATCAAGTGCATAGTGCATGAAAAGATTGAAGAAATCCTCCTCGTTGAAGTTAGGTACTGGGATAATTCTCTGAGAACTAAGAGACATTGCTACATCTTTGAATCGAGTTGTGACCAGGACCTTGCTCCCTTTCTTCCCTACCTTCAATGGAGAAAGTAGTTGATTCAGTTTGTCCTGTGCAATTGCATCCTTCTCATGCCATATATCATCTAATACAAGCAAGAATCTTTTGCCAGTTAGTTCTGCCTCTAACTTCATCTGTAATGTGTCAAGATTACTGAACTCACTGGATGGCTTCCCTGTAGCTGCCTCGAGCATCTTTTGATAAATTTTGTCCACACTGAAACTTGGTGAAACATAAATCCACATGACGGGGAAAAAGTAGTTGTTAATCTTTTCATAACTGCAGACATTTTGAGCTAACGTAGTCTTCCCAGAACCAGCAATGCCGTAGATGCTAATCACTGAATAACAACACTTGCTGTTCCGGCAGCTTTGTTCACAATCACCTGTTGCTTCACTGCGGGCTGGATCCAACCTTGGGCCAAGTCCAGTGATGGCCCAGCCTATTTTGGCCCATATTAGACTTAGCATTGTGAAAACTAGTCTAAGCCCATAGTTCTTTAGGCCCATGGCCCAGATGATCCAGGATTTGGGTTCGTCCCCGGTATCACGGAGCATCCTTACTATCTCATCACGCTCCTTGTCTCTGCCAATAATGATTTGTGTAGGAGATGAAGTGGTACTCCTAATTGATGTATTAGCAGGATTTGATATGCCATTGCCATTTGTACCACTGCCAATGGTTCTTTCTAGCAGTAACAAAAATTGAGACCCTTCTTCAGTTATTTTTTCTAAACTCTTTAGGATTTTTTTCAACTTGCCATTTTTTCCTGAGATGATATTCTTTGCATGATCTAGTGTCTTCATTACACTTGATGGAGAAATGCCCTGCATCATGGTGGCACAACTGAGATTTAAGGGAGCATCTGGATGTTGCAGCATGGAAAAAACTAAAGTACACAGAAACTATATAATAGAATGGATAAATTCCTCACAAACCAAGTGTTTACAATTTTGGCACTACATTTCTTTTAATCCGAGTCTTGAACATCAGAGGTGAACATATTTTAAATCGCTCAAATGTTAAAAAAAAAAGTTTCAAAATTTAAGGAACTACACACTGGTCCATGTAACCTGCCCACCCTTCTAGGGTGTGTTTTTTTCTTTAGACTTCATACTGTTGTACCACATGTAAAACTGGCCACAAATTTCATTAACTATGACAAGCTAGCATTTGCCCGGTCAATCTACACTTTTCATCTTCTTACTGAAGGCAGAGACTGATTAAAAGGGTATGTCAAATCCGGCTCTAAAGCTCAACATGCAAACATGCCATCTCATCATCCACTAGCAATAACTACTTATCAAATAGCTCATGCAAACATGCAATATCATCCATAATTTATTTAATTCTACAAATCAAAATACAAATAGATCCAATCATCACCTCTCTCATCATTTCCATAATATTTCAACAATATATCAATCATTTTTTTATAATATTTAACATGCATTCATCCATATATTATGTATCAAAGTGAAGATATTATTTAGTTTATTTCATGTTTACTACTAATAAGTCCTAGCTTTTCAATTTTTTTTCCCAATCTTCCGCTTCTTGCGATACAAATCTTGGCGAACAACATAAATTTCATCTATAATCCTTACAAAGTCTATTAAATTTATTTCTCTTCAAATATGGCTTGACAAATCAGTTTTATTTGTTGGAGACCACTAAACATTTATAAAAACAAAAAAGCTATGCCTAATTGGAAATCAAAAAGGGAAATTAATTAACCTTGTTCTCGAGGCGGTTGTAATCAGCGACATCCAAGATGTCCTCGACGTCGTAGAAGGCGGAGCGAAGCCTGCATGCCCACTGCTCCATGTCAGTCGTCAGCTGCTTCTGCTCAGGAGGGATCCTCTCAGCGTGCTCCAGCAGCAGCGCCAGCTGCGGGAGAATCCGGGACTCCAGGTCCCTGAGCTTGTCGGATTTGTCGAAGCCGAAGAGGGAGAAGCCATGGTTGAAGAGCCTTGCGGTGATGGGTGATGCCAGCCACCCCAATATGGAAATCGTCCACCCAACCGCGGCAATCTCCGCCATGATCGGCAAGCTCTAGCTTAGCTACCTTTACCCTTTTAATTTCTGCCAGTTCTTGTGAGAGATGCAAGACCAAAATGAGGAAGATGGGGACAATGGCTGCTTTATATTGATGCTTAATTATACTATTGCTATTTGGTTATTGCAGGTCAAGTCAAGCTAGCTCTCAAACTGCAGTGCCCTTGCATTACAGGGCTAACAATAATTAGGTCAACTCATACTTGGTCTTGATTAGGTTAATTTGCTTATTCAATTTAGATGGGAGATTTCCTTACCAACTGCAGCAAATTATGAACAGACCGGGCCCTAGTCCCAGCTGGCGAAAACGAAGTGATAAGGACCGATTGTTTAGCAAATCCTTCAACAACGACACTATTAAGGTGAAAACCACACTTTGGAAACTTCAAAACTTTTTTATACAAGTTCTTAAAAATCCACACGTATAGGTAATATGTAAATAACAATCATACAAAGTTTCACGAACAACTCAATTTCGTTAATGAGATATAAAATTAACGAATCATAGAGGAAAAACATTGTTTCTGTTTTTTTTTTGTCTTTTTCTCCTATGTTTCTTATTTTTATATCTCACAAATAATAAAGTTGAGTTTGTCCTTGTAACTTCGCATAGTTCTCATTTTTATATCCCACAAATAATTGGCAGTGATGATTTCTGGAAATGATTGCTTTCGACTCGAAGGTGGCGACATGAATGAATTCCATCCTGATGTCCGCCATCTTTTTGTCTGCTCAAATGATATAATGGAGCTTAAAGAGAAGATTTGCAAATTGGTAAAATTATGCACATTGATAGTAGTTACTCCCTCCATTGCAAAATATAAGGAATTTTGTGTGGATGTGATACTTTCTAGTACTAGGAATCTGGATAGGTAAAGTACTTACTTTATTTTAGGATTCTATAACGAAATATTATATCTTATATTTTATAGAAATTCTACTACTACGAAACAAAAAAAGAACCTTTAAATTCTTTTTTGAAATTAAACTAAGCGTGCTATTCTCAATCGAACTAAAGTTCAATGAAATATATATGTATTTCATACATATGAATAGAGACAATTTCAACAAAAGTTCGTATTTCCCAAGGGTCCAAATGGAATGAAAATGAAGTGATAAAATATTCCTAGAACCTCGAAAAATCTCTGCAGTCTTTTGAGGCTGAGGATTGCGATGAATTGTTCATGAGGAGCTGCAGAAGTCTGGATATCTAAATTGGCAAAAGATCACTCATGTCCCAATGAAAAGATTTGCATCTTCGTCCTAGAAATTACTCTCTGTGAACTTCAGGCTTACTGTTTTACTTCAGTGCAATACCAGTAATTGGTGGCATATATTGTATTTTTGTTATGTTGTGTTGTGTTGTGTTGTTGAGAATCCTCTGGATGTGTGGTTTGAGTGATGACATGGCAGCTGAGGCACAAGATTGTTCAAGTTACAACAGTCATCTGATTCTCTCATGGCTGTGCACCTATTTATTGTCCCTTGATTCATTATCTGGTGCAGTTAAAATATTAAATTGCATGTTTCAATGTGAGCATTGCTGATGGTTCTAAGGTGGTGTACAGTTTGCTTATTTTGGGGGACACTCGTTCTTGCTTATACTCCAGCATCCTTGCTTGAAAGTTGCACGCTGGCACTATGCATTTCTATATAACTGGAATAAATTTTAGGCTCTACACCAACTACAGTATGTTAATTGATCATTGCTCTATCTGCCGGAGAACAGTAATAGAAAAAAAAAACATCTTTATTTGTTGTGTAGGTGAACCGGATCAGTTGCAGAACAATGACAATGGAATTTCAGCTCAATTTACCCAGCACTAGTGAGTTCCAATGTCAAGCTTCATGATACCACATTACAAAAATTGATGAATTGGAATAACAATTTCATCGCATCAATCAATATCAACCTAAAAAAAATATCTCTGAGAGATCTGAAGATCTTGTGCCTGCCGCGACTGAACAATCTCAGCAAACCAGTAGGTTTCTCATACAGTTGCCACAGCCGCTTCTTCGGTTTGCAAACTATTGTAGTAGTCCACAAGAACTTTCCACCCACCAGGGCACATGAAACCGTCAGGAGGGTTCTCTCCACTTTTCGCAAAAGCCCGCATCTGGTTTTGATTTGTAAAGTTAGTTTTTAACAGAACAAAATTGTCTCTGCTGCAAAGCACTTATGTGAAAATTTATCTGTACCTTGGTTCCTGAGATGAACAGAAAATCTTTACTCCGTGAAGGATCAAAGAACGCCATCTTCTTCGCCACTGTATCATATGCTGCTACCTGGAGCAAATAGTATTTATTTTTAGGGAAAGAACAAAAATCTGGTATTACATGTTTCCTCAAAACAAATGATAATTCATTAAATGCTAATGCTTTTTCTGTGCATCAAATACCTTGAAGGGCAATATGTTGAGTTTCTCTAAACCTGGGGCCATGCTAAGGACCTTCTTTCCATGATCTGGGTTGTACAGATCCCTCTTTTCTGTTGGATGGCCCATTCCAGCTGGATCACGACCCACAATGTAGAAATTGGCACCAGCGTTAATCCGTGCCTTTGCATGCCATTGCACTTCTGTTGGACCAGCATAATGCATCGGGGAGGGGAAAATAGACACTATAGTAGTCTCAGGATCAAGGACACCATCTTCTAAAACCTGCCATATGATCAATTTAGTAATTTGCACAGTTTGAACTAGCAAATAACTGCATAAACAAATGATTACCTTGCTGTGTTGTTCCATTCTCACAGGCAACGGGACATCATCAGCTTTCGTGAAGCCACCTAAAGGGTGCAGCAGTAGAATGGGATTCTTGAAGCCCATTTCCAAGAGGCGCCTTCTAGTATCATTCATCAACAGGGCATGCCCATTATGTACTGGATTTCTCAATTGGAAGGCAAACACAGCATCAGCCCCTCGCTTATCGAATTCATTCCTAAGTTGCTGGGGTGAGAGCCTATAGTGATCAAGACCATCGTTATATTTGATGGGTTCAATCACTTCCAGATCACCACCAATTAGCCAGTTCCCAGCTTGGGCTATTGCCTCATCTACATAAGGTAAACCAGGTGCGGTTGTCCCCCATGTTCTTGCTATTCTTTCTTCTTTGTTGTGAGGGTATATTTCCACCCTAAGAAATACAAAAAGGTACGTATGAGGATCCAATATTCTATTAAGAAACAGGACTCAAATTGACGCTAAGAAATTAACATGTTTTAGTAGTCGAATTAATTTTTCCATGAATTTCAGCCACATAAAAATTAATAAAGTATCATGACAGAAAACTTTTCATATGTAAAAATAGAACATTTGAGTCCCTAGCAGTTAACTGTCATTTTTCTGCGCCCTATTTTCATATACACCAGTTAACATATGCAAAAATAGTGAGAATAGGGCGCAGAAAAAATGTATTCGTGTTCCCTAGCACAAATTCTAGCTCTAATAGAAAAAAAAACTAGGGCCCATTTGGAATTCAGAAATTGAAAAACACATGAATTGGGTGTCACGTACAGTAAATTCCTACATAAATTCAAAACACAGGAATTGACACAGATGGTTATAATTTTCACAGGAATGAACACAAGAATTCAGGTAGAGATGGCCTTCGAAACACACGAATTGATACAGATGGTTGTTTGGAGTTTCACAGGAATGAACATAAGAATTCAGATAGAGATGGCCTTGTCAAGTGAAAAGGAAAATTTCCAATTGGTTGGAACGTCATAATTATTTTTCCTCCAAAATTCCCCTAAAATGAGCTCCATAGGAATTTTACAGGAATCCAGTGGGTGCATTTCTTTTTCCATAGGATTACATTCTTACAAAATTTCTTTATTCCAAACAACCCCTAGCCTTTTGAGACAATATCTTCCAATATTTTTAGTCAACCAAGTGCTTTAGTATATGACAGATTAACGGTTAATCAATCAAAGTGAAGAAACCAACAAATTACCCAATTACAAAATAGTACTTGTTTTTTCCTCTTAAGCATCTCACATAAAGTAATTTGCCCTTTGTAGTATTTGCTGACCATTTCAAAAAAGCAGGTGCAGATGTTTTGCCTACCCTATGGGGAATCTTGTTGAAAATCTTGCAAAATCTAGATGGAGTTAACATTTTATAAATATGTTTGGCTTGTTTGGAATTAAAAATAGTTTGTTTTTCCAAGAAAGAGAGGACACTAGTGATATGGGTAGATTCCCATGAGAAGGGAAAGAATATATTATGAAAAGAGTCGTGACATGCAAGTTGATGTGATGCCAGCTTGCTACTATGCGAACTCACAGAATTAGCCAGTAAGATCTGCAAACATTAACCTTCTTTTTAGATAAGTGCTACTTTTATTTTTCCTTCTATAAGAAATTGTAGTAGTCTCTGTCTCTCTCAATCGTCAACACAGAAGCAGTACATGGGCACTTCAACCTTAACACGACGCGAATTACGCAGCTAAAAAGAAATTTAACTGTTCCTCACATGGCAAAAAACGGATCAGTAGGGAATTCTTATGCAATAACAACGAGAGCGACATGGCTGAAAAGCAACAGCACAGTCAAAGAACAACAACAACTTATTCCAAAAATCTCTTGTCCATTGAACTTACTAGTGGTGCTCTACACTGCTATGGTGATGGTCCCCAAACAGGCTAGGATGCTTGCACAAAAAATTTCTCACAACTAAAAGATAGTACCCTGTAAGTGATGCAATTGTTCTGTTACTGTAGTTCCTCTCTGTTTTGTTTTATTTCTTAGGAGAAGGGGATCGGATTCTGTTGTTACATTTATTGATTGATTGAATCAGACTGAAATTCCAAACCACGATGCCTGCGTGCTACATTCCTCTACCAAAAAAAAAAATTTGCCGTGAAATTTCAACAGATTGTAAATTGCCATCAGAAACAAGTATTTCAGACGCAATACGCGATTAAATTGAATAGATTTACCATGTTGGACTCATTTCTATACGAATTTTGTGTTCGATCCAACAGTAATTAAATGCAGATAAACAGAGATGAAATGGAACAAAATTCACCAAGAAAAGAGGGGGGAGAGGAGGAGAAGAAGGTCACCTGCGTAGGATGGCGAGGACGGCGCCGTCGGGGCCATGGAGCGCGACGTCCGGGCTGGACCCGATCTCCTCCTTCTCCCGGTCGCCGATGGCGAGGACGATGGGGAGCGACATGTTGACGACGCCCGCGCCGTCGGGGAGGCGGATGCAGTTGAAGTGCAGCGACTGGAGGTACTCGTGCTCCCGCATGAACCCCCGCAGCGGGCTCGCCCACCCCTCGGCGAGCACGTGCGCCCACTCCACGTCGACGGGGGCGAGGCGGACGCGCGGGAGCGCCTCCGCCTCGCCGCGCAGCGCCGCGGCGCCCCGGCGCCGCCACGAGGTCGACGAGCGCGCCCCCGTCCGGGTCGATGAGGGAGCTCCGGACGGTGACGGACATGGCGCGGCGGCCGTGGCGCGGGCGCGGGCGCGGCGCGGAGAGGCGGAGGCCGGAGAGGAGGCGCGGGTGGGCGAGCGAGGCGGAGGCGCGGAGGCGCGCGGGCGGGGAGGCGTGGAGGCGGGGAGGGATGGGGTTGGGAAGGTGGAGGTGGGTGGTGGTGGCCATGGGTGGGCGCGCGCAAGGTGTTCGACCGACGGGACGAATGGCGTGGCGTGGCGTGGGCGCGCGGAGTATGTATTATTGTTTTTGTTTATTAATTGGTTTGCTTTGCCCTTGTTCCTGGAATGGTTTGGAGAGATTTCCTCATATTTATATAGCAATCAAGTAGGGATGACATATGACGTGACACACTTTCACTCTGATTGTTTTACTCGTTGACCACATCTTTGACAATTTTATGTTTTAATATCTTACTCCTGCGTATGCAATTATGTCAGATCAAGGCACTGTTTGTAAAGGGTTTAAGGGTAGTATCTAATTATTGATTAGTATTATTATTACTAATATATTTCAGGAGTTATACAGCTTGTTGATCCATGAATTAAATTTGGAAATATATTATTGATATGTTTTTTTCAAAAAATTTGAGATTTAAATTTTTTTGGCGGAATCACTTCATTGATACACGAAAATAACATGGACGTGACGACGCCGGCAGTATCGCGCCGTGACGAGGCAAGACCGCGGTCAGATAATTGGTACAAGTCTTTTGTGTAAGGGTATTTTTAATGGTAGAGTTAAGTATGGTCTCTTATACAATACAAAATTATTTAGAGACCACGTCTTTACAATAGTTGAGACGACAAAGGCTCTAATCGTTAACTCAAAAAATATTTCTTTTGTTAATATTATTTCCATTTTTTCCCCTCATGCAACCATATTTCTATATTATATTATAGTGATTAAAAGTCGTTGTTAAGCCGTTGTTATGCATAACAACGATATTTTGTCTCCTCTTTCTCTTTCTTCTATATCAACAAGTATTTCTAATTAGCAGCGCTAAAAGACCACTATTAACAACTATTGTACATGCCCTAAATATTTTCAAAGAGAATTCCATATAGATAGCAGTTAACTCTTGGGACGTGTCAAGCGGCCATCTGGGCTTCAATGCTGACTGATGACTACCAAAAAATACTTGCAAAAAGTTACTGGCAACTTAGAAATTTGATCTTCCGATAACGTCGCTGGCTCTACCATTACATACATGCATTTTAAAAATTGGTTTAATCATAGATAGCCTGCACAATTTCTTTGTCCAAAGCCATGAAAAACAGAGTTGTGTTCCTCTTTCTCTTGAGCATCAATCATTTCTGAAGTGAAGTCACGGAGCATAGAAAAAGGGTATTGATTCCGATTCCAAACGCACGGCCGTCATCATGTACGTTTCATGTCCACGAATCGCCATGGAAAAAGCGAGAAATGATGTAGAATGATATGGTTTCATTCATTTGTAGATTGGATGCTTGGAAATTTCGCTTTCAGAGATGAAGAGAGAAGCTTCAAAAATTGGGAGCCACAGGATAAATGGAGATAGACTTGGCGTGACATTTTGGACCAAGAGCCAAGATGCCATCTTCTTCCTTTTGGGCACCTCTTTTGTTTTGGATTTTTGTGCATGATGTGCAATCTCTGATTCTTTCATCGCCTTGCCCTTTCTTAATTTGCGACAGTTTTGCAAAAGCATGGCATTGGCATATTTATTGTTTTTTTAAAAGGAGTGAGATAAAGATTAAATAATAGTACAATGAATGAATCTGGATATGTATATGTCCAGGTTCTTAAACAGAAATTGAATTATTGAAACCGAAAGGATACTTAATTTGAGTAAGACAATATTGAGTCATTGTTGACTATCACTACAACTTGATAAGCACGCATAACGCATTCTGGACTGCTTAGAGAGTGAACGATTAAAACATGACGTCAACGAACTAATTAAGCGTATGCACAACAGTACGATGTCGATTTAATAAGATGCCTCCTGGCACCTTCATCTGTCACGTGCATAAAGGATCGGTTGCCCCTTGAAGAGGTTGAAGAGGGGCTCTGCCTCTGAAACAAGATACTTTCAGGTTGGACCCGTTGATTTTTAATAGAGTAAATTGTACCCACGGTACAACAACTTGACAGGTGGGTGCCATATAGTGCAAGAACTTGAGAATTGAGCGTCCGAGTGCAACAACTTGACAAGTGGGTGCGTTCTAGTACAAGAACTTAACAATTTAGTATTTTGGTGAATCAATTTGGCTAAGCATATGCTAGGTGAGGTTTTTCACAATGTCAATATACCAATACACAGTAATCCTATGGATATTACCTTATAATATTGAATTTAATCTTTAAGAATTATATTGCACATACAATTTACATTCAGTTACCCTTAAGAATATTTTGTTTTCTTTACCTTCTCAAATATCAACCGAAATATAATAATTTCTACATCCAGTTTAATTGACTTTCAGATATTAGTTATTAGAGTTATTAGTTATTAGGATAAAAATATAAATATGTTTATACAAATCCACGCTAGTATATTGTCAAAATAAGTACTTAAAAATTTGAATTTATATAAAAAATACTCCAAATAATTAAGTTGTCACATAACTTATTAATTTATTGTATCAAAATCGTATCTACCTTGCAAGTTGTTGCATTTATACGATCACTTATAAAGTTCTTATACTAAATTGCACCTTCTTGCCAAATTGTTGCACTAGAACGCTCATTTTTCAAGTTATTACACCAAATTGCACCCAACTGCCAAGTTGTTGCACCGTCGGTGCAATTTACTCTTTTTAATATTTTGATCGTTCATTTTATAAAAAAACAATTATACAAAGAGTAAAATACGGTAGCGCTCTTTGAACTTATAAACGGATATTATCTATATTCATAAACATGTAAAATGCAGGTATAGATTTCTAAACTTGATAAATTATGTCATGTAGATCCAAACCGCATTTGTCTCTCTAACAGATTACCTCCCCTGTCAAGGAAAAAATAAAACTCAATCTAAGGATTTGTGTTTACACCCAAATTTGGCATCTAGGATTGAAATAGGGAAAATTGCCAAAGTTTGAAAGTTCTGCCGGTTTTCCTCTAGGAGGGCCGGTTTGACCGCCGTATGTAGGCCGGTCAGTCCACCGCTAGAAGGCCGGTTGTTGATGCGAAAAACACACTAGCCTGGGAGATCTGCTTAACTCTAGTGCAGGTCCTAAATTTTGTTCTTGGGTTCAAAGGCGTGCCAGTTGATTTGATCCTGCAATCAACAAGAAAGAAAAACAAGAAAACCGAGGTTAAATCCATAAACGATAGCCGATCGGCTAGGAGCCGATGGACATATCGTCAACCATTAAACCGATATTACTGACATTAGACCGGCAATAAAGAATAAAGCAATGTAAAGCTAAATTTACTCGATCGGCTGTGGACATCAATGATATATAATCTTTTTCTCGAAATATACTTAAACTAAGTGATTGGGATAGATCAAACAGCAAGTCGAGATAGTATAGATCACTTATGTTTAAAGATACTTTAAGACAGCTATTATACATATGTTTATAGCATACCAGATCAAAAAGATCTAGCATGTATCGGCTAATACTCCGATACCACTCTATATTAAGATGTTAAAACATGATAAATATATCAAACAGAAAGCCTAATATACTTTAACGCAATAAGATCTTAATATAAAGGGCGGATTTAACTTATCAAGCAAGCATGTAAGGTATAAAGTAGCTAAATCAGGTAAAATCGGCTGAAACCCCGATACTATATCTATTGATAATCATAAACCAAGCTAGATAGTGTGGTTATGCATATTACTTAATAGATCGAACTCAACCGATGCAGCATTAAGCATAAGAATTGCACTCTGTTCCTGGAATACAATTCTTCGCCGAATCCACTTTGATTCCGATGTTGAACCTGGTTCATGATTTACCAAATTTGGTCGTTAACACCAGTCTGACCGGCAGAGTCCGAGGCCGAGTCTGTTTTTGTCGGGTCTCGAGTTTCTTTGCTCGGGAAGAAATGTTTCGGGTTTCCATTGGTTTCTACCCCGAGTTAGACGTGGAGGAGGGCCTGTAGAGGGCAAGACCAACCCCCTATTTAAGGGACAAGGCCGGTTCAAACAATGTAACATCCAACAATCAATCAATCGAATCGGTTTTTTCAATATTGCTTTCTACTTTTCAATTAGCCCTAGTTTAGTTCGTCCATCTTTGTCGATTTGTGCCATAAATCGTCCGTCTTCGCTGCGAGAGTGCGGAATCCTTTGTAGGTTTGTCCTGAAAACCTTCCGTTGTGCCCACGAGACGAGTAGTAATCCACCAATCTATCTAAATCGGCTCCGCTAGCCGGTTTGTTCTATCAAAACCTATCTTGATCTAGCTTTGCTGGATTAGGGTGGTTGGTGACTCTCATATCACCGCAAGGCACTTAGGTGTTGCGATCGTGCTTGTCTACTTGTCACAAAAAGTTGCCAACAATTTGATACAACCATGAATCTGAACAGAAAATTGACTAGATTCATTGTATCGAATCTTCATCTAAGATTGGATTTTTTTTATGGGACCGAGGGAGTACATGATGCTGATGTGGCTGACACCTCACACCTCTCTCCCACCTTTCCTTTTCTCCCTCTCTTCTCGGTGTATATAGAGTCTGTTTGGCATAGCTCTAGCTCCGAATCCATCTCTTCTGGAACTGTAACCTAGCAAAACAGTTTCAAATCCACCTAAAATGATAGCATAGCTAGATGGAGCACTCTCACCAAATGAACTAGAGAGGTGGAGTTACTGCGCC